GCTAAAGGTGACATAGATACTTTATTATGGTATAGTATTTAAATATATGCCTGAGAAACACATAAAATTGCCCTTTTAAAAGCAACATATATTTTTTTATTTTTTCACATTTAAATCATTCAGTTGGGCTCTATATAAGTGGAACTGGAATGCTTTGGTCTGAATTTTTCCTTATTGTAACTCCACAAGCCCCTGTTTCATCCTTTCTCTGAGGTGTGTCTCGGATCAACTCATTTTGATGCTGTTTCTTTAATAATACTAATACATTGAGCTTATATAAGGCTTTTTAGGACATTCCATGTACACTAAGATGCATTTAATGGCTRAAAAGGTGGATTTTGCATGTGTCTCCTTTAAAATGTATTATATCCAATGTGAAGGATAGGGTAAACGGCAACATCCTTACCTTGTGCGTTTGAGGAATCTTTTCAGAGCAGGTAGCACATTGTTAGGATYGATGAGCTCAGAGGCTGAATTTGTCGTAGCTCTGCTCTCTGCTGCCTCTGCCGAGTCCCTGGACTCAGCACAGGCATCCTGGAGATACAGARAACAACTTATTAGCAAGGATGATGCCGAAACAACCCACGGAAGTCTTTTTTCTCATTCCTTCCTCACCATATTTTGCTCCCTCTGCTGTTGCTCGTAATTTAATAAGAAATCAGTTAGCTCAGGTAGATCGTTGTTGTCGAGGCCCAAAGACTGGAACAGAAAAAAGTGACTCAAGTTCTGTCCATGCCCGTGGAACTAACATCAGGGGCGGAGCCAGGRGGTGGCCAGGGGTGGCTATGGCCACCACAGACAACTCTTTGGCCACCCTGCTGTACACACCCCTTACACAGTGAAACAACATTTAGGGGTGTAATAATCCTCCTGAACAGTTGGTGGCAGTGTTCAACAGTTTAAAACATCACCAAGCTCAAAGAAGTGACAAAAAAAGTGATTGTTTTCTTTATGTAATCTGACTTATGGTGACAAATGTTTGGGTTTTTTTTGTCATCATAACAAAGTCATTTTCTGTTATGAAGGCTGCATGATGCTCTGTCCGTTTTGGTTATGAGTAGACTTATCACTAAATCAGAAAAAGTGAAATGCCCCTTTAAATTCACTGTTGGTGTTTATCAGTATTACACCTGTTCATTGGGTAAAATTCTTAATACTAGTTTTAAACATGCAGTTGAAGGTCATCATTATTTGGCACAACGATGTGTCATAATTAAAAACAAATCAATAAACAATTAAAAAGTAAAAAGCACCTTTAAAGTCATTAGATATGATAAATTGTGTCACATTAATTAACCTTATCTCAGCTGTAGCAGTGAGTTTAAAAACATGATAATGAAACTAGTTTAACGAAGAATCTGTCTGTGAAATAATTAAATCAAGTGTTTATTTATGTACGTAAAAGTATGTTAAACAACTTGGTAAAATACACCAGAATGCAGGAAATGGCATTTATTTTGTTCAAAATTTTCTGTGGGAGGACCCTCAGACCTCCCAACAGTGTGTCCCCCCACTTTTAAAATGCTTCTGACGCCCATGTTTATAAGGTAGTCACTGCCTGTATAAGGACATAAGGAAATGACCAAAACACAAAGATCTGCGAAAACTTTCAAGTAAAAAATGATGTAATTTTCCTGGCCACTCCTCTGTGAGTAGTGGTCCCAGTCTGGCCACCCCTGAGKAAAATGTCTGGCTCCGCCACTGACTAACGTCGGGCTTCAGAAATATGAGTAAGGCTGAATATAAACTCACATAAACGAGGGTCGCCAGCTTCACATCGGTTTGTTCCTCATCCTCCAGGGGAGCAAGAAGTTTCAGGACATTCGTTTCCATTAGGAAGTCCTGAAAAGAAGAAAGGAAAGTTTATGTTTTCCTCAAATGTTCATCGTTTGTTTACAAAAAGCTCGAACTTATGGTCTAACCGTTTCATGGCAAAGCAGCTCTTTCACTTTCTTCTGTGTCTCACTCAAGAAATCCTCTTCCTCCCGCTCTGGACCACTGCCACTGTCCGCTGCCGGTTCTTGAGACCGTCTGGGATGAGGGAGCTCCATGAAATCCAAAGGTGGTTTCTCCCAGGGTAAGCCAAGGAGCTGATTGGAGATCACYGAGTCGATGAGCAAAGCCCTCTCTGCGAGTTGCTTTGAATCTGCATAGATCATTAGCTGCATCTCCTCGTACTTTCTGGCATCAGCAACTGGAGAGTGCCTGCATGAATAAAAACAACAATCTCAAGGGTGAGAGGAAAGTATTAATGCACACCTTGAAACCCAAGCGTAATTATGACTTACTTGATTTGCACTTTTCTGCGTTCGTACATCTGGTTCGAGCGTTTGTTTTCCGCAGCCCRCACACGCCTCTGCTTTGCCAACTCTTCCTGTTCTTTCACGCATTTTTGTTTTATTTTGTACATTTCCCTTTCAGAGTTGAAACATAAAGTGGTCACTAATGGTGTGCACAAACATGCGGTTGTATCAAAGGAAAAAAAAAAAAAAAAAAAAAGAAATTCCAAACCTGAGTTTCTTGCATAGACGAATGATCAACGAGATCTCGGCCTGTTCTGCCTCATCTTTTATGCCGAGGTCTTTCAGTCTCTGAAGAACGCTGGCTTTGTTTTGTTTTTCCTGTTCTCTCTTCTGACCCTGCACAGTAAAACGGGTCATACAGCTTTGTCAAACAAAAATCCAGTTCCAGTTTAAATGGCTTCGTCACTGACGCACAAACCTGCTTCTTTGCCATGTTTTCCAGCTCCAAAGCTTCACGGGTGTAAGCATTCTGAAACCTCAGCTCATGACTTCTCTCCTCGAATTCCTCCGCATTTTTTCTCCCCTCAGAGAAACTCTCGAGCTGGAATCAGAACAGGAGTTATGGGACAAAGAACTATGAGAGAAACTGATAAAACAACCCAGGAGCCAGGGAGAAAGAGAAATCACACACACGACAGGCCCTGGAGCAGTGTGGTTATCCTGACTGGGCTTTCCTGAAAGCAGACGGGAAACACAGACAGGATTCCATGCAGCCTTCAGGTGAAAATGAAGACCCCAAACCCAGACCCAAACCAGTGGTTATTCCGTATGTTGCGGGTGTTTCGGAGAAACTGAGATGTTTATTTTCTAAACATGATGTCCCAGTAGCTTTCAAACCCCAAAACACATTATGGCAAAGGCTGGTTCACCCCAAAGATCCGGTGAACCGGCACAAACAGAGCAATATTGGATATTTCGTTAAGTGCCAGGAGGACTGCGACCAGTTATACA